TCTATTATATGTTTTGAATTTTAAAAATTGGGAATACAATTTCTAAAAATAAAAAAAACATTTTAATTAATTCCAATAATTTTCATACAAGTTTATCAATATGACATTCAGTTATTGAACAAACCTCTAATATAAATACACAGTCAATGATGTTTTTTGATTAAAGTTTGAATTTGTCAACGATCATTTCTTTGTAGTGATCTTGTAGGATAAGATAGAACTGCATAAATTCAGTTAATTATTATTTAAATGTTAAAGTTCACTATGGATTATTGGTTTCCGTTCTTCAGTTAAACTTCAGATTCTATAACTGATTAGGAGAAGATGAATTCAGCAATATCATATGCAGATATGAAAACAGATATCGATCATAAAAACATGATATTTTCTGGTACATGACATTATATGGAGTGAAGAAACTCTTGAATGGACTCAATGTTCACTAGTTACCTTACTTTCGCTGAATAAATAAACCTCCATCTTGATAGAAAGAATTAAAAAAACGAAATTATGATGTGATTGTATTTCTAGAATATTCTGTGTTAATTGAAGTTTGAACTAAGTAAAAAGAAAACGTGTAAAAGTATCCCTGAACCATGATTTCAACACAGTTCGTTCTTTCATGAAACTCTAATATTCTATTTGATTTCAGTAGTTTTGAAACTGTTCAACTAGGCATGGAATCGTAGCAACCAGATATGAATTTTTCATTTAAGTAATTTTCAGCTAAATACCTCATCATCATGTCACAAAATCAATTTTCGCAGTTCACAATTATACAACTTAACCCTCTACTGTCAAGGGCAATTTTACATTGGTTTTTAGGAGAACCAAAGAGACTGTTCGTGTGTTAGCATTTCGACCTGAACAGTTCGGCTCAATCCTGTGGTGCAATCACACTGATACCTGATTCCCTGGTGGACCATTCAGAACACTGGTCAATGAATGTTGTTAATTATAGAAATATTAATCAGTCATACAGTAATCCTTTTCGTATCTGTAGAACTTCTAATCGCTTGTGAAGATCTCTTTTAATAAACTGTATTTTTATTGTCAGCAATATTTACAATGAAATAACAGAAGAGAATCATTAGTATACAGTATAAAAGTGCTTTGTGGTTAAATTTTTAGGCACAAATTTCTTTAAAATAAATATTTGTGAATTATATCAATAATTGTGTTGATATGTTTGATTTCTTTTATTACAAGGTGCTTTTCTCATTCCATATGGTTTAATGTTAATATTTGGTGGAATTCCATTATTCTACATGGAATTAGCTTTAGGACAATTTATTCGTAAAGGTGCTATTACATCATGGGGAAGAGTATGTCCACTTTTGAAAGGTTAGTTGAAATGTTAAAAAATACGAGTTGAAATCAGTTACATTACTGAATTTATTTATGGCTGGCTATACACGTGAACAGATAATAAATATTCCAAAGTAGCGGAACATGCAATTGACAATGACAGGATAAAATTCTTTCAAAATTATTTTGATTATTCTTAGAAAAAGATTGACAATTGAATCAGCAAACCTAAACAACATGAAGAAATGAAACAGAATACAATTAGCTGAGTTATGGTAATGATTGATTCATAAGTAAAATTATGAACTAATGCTATTATTACTTTTCATCTAATATTTTTGGAGGCAGAAACGATGTACACTCATCAGTTATTCTGTTTAGATAATGATATTTACATTGTAATAAATTTAACATTTAACACAGTCTGTTTCACATTTGTTTTATAAAATATTATATCAGGTAATTTTGGTTTTTAGTTATTTCCTCAGACCTTTTCAGACCAGAGTGTGATGTGTAAAAGGCTGAACCTATCATAAGTATAGATAAGGTTGTGGAAATTGTTGAGTTTCATTGAAATCATGAATCAACCAATACTGGACAACCATTGAAAACCCGGGAGCGTTGGACAGCTGTTTCGTAAGATTGTGGGATTCCACAACAGTACATATTCGCTACTCCACATATGGCGATCGGACTCAGGACCTTCGATCTCGTGAACGAACGCCTAAACTCCAGATTATTAAGAAGGAATCCAACGGTGTTAATGTCTAACTTTAATCAATATAAAATACTGCCCAACTATCTACTTACAACCATCCACTTACAAATTACTTTTACTTTACGCAATAAGCTTTCTTGACACTACTTGAAAAATTTTTACAAAATATTTATACTTCTCTAGTTGAGACTGGAATTAAACTCTTCGATTATGGAATTAGAATTTCTTTCTTTTACTCAAATGGGTTTTCTGAGAGAAGAGGATAAATCAAACAGTTAGGCCCCGAAATTATTCAAAGTGAACTTGAGTACCTAGATATTCGCAGCCCCAGTAATATCGGTATTAGTTAAACAGTTCAGAAAATGATGAGAGTTTAACTAGAAACTTACAATAATATAATAAAACATACTTGATTATTTAAATCCACTGTTTGCTCAACTGATAAGCTACGTAAATTTCTACCTCATCGAATCTGCAACTGAAACAATAAAGGATTACATAAATATAAGCAGTCTATATTATTTAGATTCATAAGTTCATTTATTATGTGGAGAAAATACACGACCGTAATATTCTGAAATTGTTAGATATCATTGAGCATCTACCCACAGCGTTTGCAGTGTGTGTGTACTTTTGTGTCGAGCCTACAGAGCTTGCTTCAGCTTTTGGACAACTTAATCAATCCATTCTCCTTGAGTCACTATTTACTTGCCCTTTGACCTTATCAATTATTCGCTCATATCTTGGTCACTTCTATTCCAGTCTGTGTGAGCACTGCTTAGTTCGCTTATCGAATGTCTAGCTTATTTTTGTTTGACTATAAATCCTTAGTCACCTTCTCCACCGCGCTTCACTTTGCCTGTACACTTTTCGTTCTGATGTCTGTCTGCACTAACGATTGCCTGAAATAAACAAATCCAACCAAATCTGTATTTGGCTTCTAATTAGAGCCATCGATCCAATGGGGTTCACCTACGTATGATGTACAGAAACAGAAGAGAAGATTTTCTACTCACTGACAAATTAGGAATATTATTAATATTCTATCATTATATACAGTCTACTAAAAACTCAACCTAATTTTAATTACCGACACAAATTTCAACAGCGATGCTTATTAACTTAAACAAATCATTACTGTCCAATTTTTGTTCATCCCTCTCATGTCTTTCTCTATTTCTCGGAGTAATGTGATCCTTGGCCTTCCTCTTTTCCTTTTGCCTTGAGGGTTCCAAGTGAGGGCTTGTCTTGTGACTCAGTTAGTTGCTTTTCGCAGTGTTTGTCCTATCCACCAGCTCGAGCGCTTCTTCCTGATTTCCTCGTTCGCCTGAATCTGGTTTGTTCTCTCCCACAGTAAGTTGTTGCTGATTGTGTCTGGCCAACGAATCGAAAGTATTTTGCGTAGACGACTATTCATGAATACTTGTATCTTCTGGATGATGGCTTTCGTAGTTCTCCAAGTTTTCGCTCCATACAGTAGAACTGTATTGACATTTGTATTGAACATTCTGATTTTGGTGTTTGTTGACAGTTGTTTTGAGTTCCAGATGTTGTTTGTTTGCAAAAATACTGCCCTTACTTGGCCGATCCGTGCCTTCATATCTACTTCAGATCCAACTTGATCGTCAATGATACTGCCAAGATATGTAAAGGTGTTAACGTCCTCCATGCCGTCTCCATCAACAGTGATTTGGTTGGCGTTCGTTGTGTTGTGTCTCAGAATCTTGCTTTTCTCGCTATTTATACTGAGACCTACTGCTGCTGAGGCTGCTGCTACACTGGTTATCTTCTCTTGCATTTGTTGTTGCGTGTGCGATTGAAGAGCCAGGTCATCCGTGAAGTCCAAATCGTTGAGCTGCATTCTAGCTACCCATTTGATCTCATGATCCCCCCAGATGTTGACATCTTTATCACCAGTAGAAAGTGTAAGCAACTTTTCCTGGTACCGATCTTCACCTCTAACGAGTCTAGGAACTATCCTCCGTGCATGATTTTTCAGTTTTATCCACCATAAGAATTCTGTATGAGGTAGACTATCGTCTCAGGCCCGCCGTAGTGTCGAAGAGGTCTTCATAAAGTTGTCCTGTCCGTACTAACGATTGCGTAGTCAATGAAGTTGATGTACAGTGGTGAATTTCATTCAATTGATTGTTCCACAATGATCAGCAATGTTGCAACAAAACATATGATCCTATAATTATAGTAGACAATATGTAAGCAAGGCAGGCGATTTATTCATAGAGAATTTGCCGCTAAATATTTTCTCTATTAATAATAATAATGACCAAAACAAACTATTTTTAATTAATTAATTAATTTTCTAAGATTAGTAGTTGAATTTTCTGTGTCTCACAACTTCTTTTATCCTTTATAATCATAATAATACTAATCTTTCTATAATGTTTATTCATACTCTGAATGATTTTATTTCATTAAAACATTTTCCATTATAGGTGTTGGTTACAGTGTAGTACTTGTGGCATTTTACACTGATTGGTTTTATAATATGATTATAGCATGGTCACTTTATTATTTCGGTGCATCGTTCACATTCAATCTACCATGGATGTCATGTAATAATCCATGGAATACCGAAAATTGCATAGATTTTCATTTAACAAATAATAATGATTCAATGTTTATATGGGAAAATATCTCAATACAAAATAATCATTCAAGCATAGGGAATATAACATTTCCTGTTGAAGAATACTTCAGGTAGTTAGGTTCATTTTTTCGCATCATTTGTAGAATATCTGTTTGTTTTTTTTTGGTTATTATTATTATTATTATTTTTGTATTATGGGGTTGTGAAGATTGTTAAGTTACACATTTTTTGAAATCATGAATAGATCAATGTTAGACCATCACTATTAGAAAAACCTCGAAGCACTGGACGGCCGTTTGATCGATTCATGGTTTCAAGATGTGTAACTTAACAATCTTTATAACCACGTAATGCAACTGCCTGTGCTCACTAGTGACTAGCTTCGTGAGGAATCTTCTCCGAGTTCTAGTGGGAAGAAGGTGACCAGTGAAGTTCAACCTGTTCGGGTGTAGACAGTAACTACTGAAGACTGTGTATGAGTTTGCGCAACTCCGTGAATTGATCAAATTAGACATTAACACCGATGGATACCGGCTCAGTGGTCCGATTGTTAGGCGTTCGCCTACAATACCGAAGGTCATGGGTTCGAACCCTACGCACTGCTGATGAGTACCATACCAGGACAAAACGGCTGTCCAGTGCTTCCAGGTTTCTAATGGCGCTCTAACATTGTTTGATTCATTGTTTCAAAATATTATTTTTATGTTTGATGAATGAGAAGTGATGATATGTAGCTAATTGATAATTGAGAAATAGTGTTGATTTGTTGTTTTATTTTAGAAAAGTTAATTGTTTTCCCATTTAAACAATTCATAGTATCGATTTTTAAATCAGAGTTATGGTGACAATTGTTTTTTACACGTTTGAAATCATCGATCAATCATTATTAGACCACGATTAGAAACCTGAAAGCACTGAAAGACTGCCGTTTCGGCCTGGTATGGGACTCGTCATCGGCAGTGAGCATCCACGACTCCTGCACCTCACAGGATTCCAACCCGAGACTTTCGGACTTCCAAGTGCACGCCAAACCTCTGGACCACTGAGCCGATATCTAACCGTGTTAATGTCTGACTCTCACCAATCTAGAGATTTTGAGTGACCTCACGCATTTGTCTTGAGTTATGATTTCAAACGTGTGAAAAACAATTTTCTCCATAACTCCAATTGTAAAATCGTAAAATGTGCTCACTAGTGATTAGCTCCGTGAGGAAATTGTCGGAGTTCCAGTGAGAAAACGTAACCACTGGAGTTCAACCCTGTCGGTTGTAGGCAGTAACTACCAAAGACAAATGAGTGAGGTCACGCAAAATCTCTAGCTTTGACAGATTTAGACATTAACACCGTCAGATATTGACTCAGTGGTCCAGACTTCAGGTGTTCGCGTGCAAGACCGAAGGTCCTGGGTTCAGATCCTGCGAGGTGCAAAAGTCGTGGATGCGCACTATCGATGAGTCCCATACCAGGACGAAACGACCCTCCAGTGCTTTCGTGTTTCTAATCGTGGTCTAACAATGATTGACTGATGATTTCAAACGTGTAAAAAATAGTATAGATTGTTCCAAAGAAAAGTTTCTTTTCTGAAATTATATTTTATACTTTGAATCTGTCGAGAATGATGATATTACTAACTCACTATTTCTTTTTTCTTTAAATGAGATAAATTTTTCTAAAACAACTTTTTGTTTTAAAAATTACAGTAATCAAGTGCTAGGACGTACTAAAGATACAAATGTAGAAAATCCTGGTAAAATTCAATGGCAAGTATTATTATGTTTTATAGCTGTTATGATTATATGTTATTTCAGTCTATGGAAAGGAATACATACTTCAGGAAAAGTGAGTTATATTTTTAAGTAATAATAATCATCATGCTATCTCAAAATATTTATTGATAGTAAATATCGTAGCATTAATAATCATTGTCAATAATGTGTGCATTTAAGTATTCTCTCATACGTTTTCTTTCTTTAAAGGTTGTTTGGTTCACTGCATTATTTCCTTATGTTGTATTGATTATATTTCTATTTCGTGGAATAACTTTGCCTGGATCTACTAATGGTATTTATCATTATATATGGCCAAATATTGAAAAACTTAAATATGCTGAACCATGGGTAGATGCTGCAACACAAGTATTCTTTTCACTTGGACCTGGATTCGGTGTACTTATGGCTTATGCATCTTATAATGAATTTCATAATAATGTATACAGGTAAGCAAGCACATTTTAGAATACATCTATAAATTGTTGAAATCATAATTTATCGTACTGCAATTTCAGTGTTAAACTGAATTGTTAACTTTCATCATCTCGTCCTAATATGGAACTCTTCAGCAGTGCCCACCAACATCACCGCACGTGGGGATCGAGCGAAGAACACCTAGTCTCATGTGAATGCTTAGCCTCTAGATCACTGAGTTAGCATCTAGTGGTTTTAATGTCTAACTTGAATCAATCTACGACGCTGAATTACTTTTCACCCAATGAAAGCGGTTGATGACTGTCTCACATCCGATATGAGTTGAACTCCATTGGCTATGATTTCTCACTAGAATTCCAAAAGTATATCTTGAAACTGGTCACGAATGAGTTCATGATACTTGTACTATAGGGGATTTATGAGGACTACATTATTTTCATAGTTAAACTCACAAACTAATCTTAGTTAGACTGCCGAAATTCATCAAGAGTACAATTATTACACATACACTCCTATTTATTCTTCATCTACCTCATTTTTTGTTCGACGTTTAGATTATTAAGATACTTTCTTCTTGGTATTTAAAGTTTCAAGATAATTTTTCCACTTAATATCTCTTTTACAATCGTCTATCATATATTTTAATCAGGTTCAAATTCATTTATACCACTTTGGCAAAATATGCCTTCAAAACGAAAACTGACAATGAATTCCAATGAAAGTGGTATGAAGTTTTAAGCAAACATTTACTCTAAGTTATGATTTATAGATAATCAGTTATCAGAATGAAGCATAACTCAAATGATTTTAAATAATTTTTTGTAAATTCACTTTGAAAAATAATACAAGTCAATAGGATGTAAAATATTCTAATGATAATATTGTACTTTTGAATTAAGCGATACTTATAAGTACAGATTATGACTGAGGTTATTAATCAATAACTTATCTGTACATGTTTATATCAACCTAATTCAAACGTTACTTTTAATAATCGGTGATTAACTTGTATTAGTTCGAGTCAAAATTGACTAAGAACACTACTATAAACCAATTACGTTTCCGCCTCTATTCGTTATCCTGTCGTGAACCGAAACTGCGAAAAGAGATAGTCCAGATGAAGGAGGTGATTTCGTGGTGTCGAAGGGATACCGAAATCGTACCAGAGAAAACGGGCGAAAATGTACAGAAAGGTAAAAGAGAGATGGCGCCCGCGCGTCTAGTACAAAAAGTGCGCATAAACAAGAATTTTAGTAAAACAACCACTGGTACAATTGGTTGTAATCATGAATGGTTCTATTTAACGAATCGCGTTTTCCTAGTAAAAGCGGAGTCACTACCAACTTTTGAAAAATTTACGATATTCATAGATTAGATATCTGGGTACTTAACAGGAATAAATATGAAAAAATATCGTATATTCATTTGTTTGTTGTGAACATTAGATCCCTAGAACTCACCTTATAAAAGTCTTATATCTGGATTTCATTCATGTTCTGACCTTGCGATTACATTTCCCACTAGGAAAATCCTTGGCCGTTATTGCTTGATTTATTATTTTGGTACGCTATCTGTGGCCCTCCCAAGGACGTTTCTATCATGTATAGATAAACTTAATTTATGTGCTTGTCGACATCGATTTCCTAGGTGCCTGTAGAATACACTATCTACACCAATTCAAGACTTGATACCGTTAGCAGGGCTCTGGGACGCTCGGATTAGAGTAGCCTATCATGTCACTGGATCATTTGTCTTAGTTCTCGTTTACCGACTAAGATGAACTCGTAATAGTTCAAGCATATCAACTGACAAGCATAACAGTTATTTAGTCACGTATTATTAGCATCAAGCGAGAATTGATATTCAATCAAGTAAACATTCATTATGATTGGTGAAAAGGTTTATTTTTCAAGTAATATCTTTCATTTAATATTGTATGCACAACAGTTATCAAAATGAGAGCGATTTGTTAACAATCATTATAGTGACCTTAATAGTGGTAACATATTGAACTGTTGAACGTTTAAACTTGTCCTATAGATATATTTATTTATAGTTTAACTGTAGAATTATTTAACCTCCATGCGCATCGTTATTCTGTTGCTCAAATTGTAATTAGTTTATTTATTATTTCATTGTATTATTTTCTCTTTTTTTTAAAAAAAAAAAATACTTTTATGATTATCAAATATCAATTGATAGAGATGCATTAGTCGTGGCGTCAATTAATTCATTGACAAGTTTATTATCTGGATTTGTGGTATTCACTTTATTGGGTTATATGGCATATAAACGTAATGTACTCGTGTTAGATGTGATTAAAGATGGTGAGTTTAAAAGTGATTTTTCTTGATTGAAAGCACTCAGTGTAATTTAGTTTTCGGCTGACATTATATCAAAAAAGCTAATTAGATTACATGTGTTACAAAGAGATGATGTAGGTAGTTCATGGTGAATTAGTTTCAAAGTTAATAATTTTTTTACTAGGATCCTGTATGCGCGTTTCCGAGACGCAGCACACATCGATGGCACGAGATTTTAAAGTCCTAGCTAACGAAGCTTGTTGTCCTATTTGACACAATGTCCGTACATTAAAAGCTCCAACATGTAGTCTAGAATGGGGTTTCAAGAGATCAGGAATGACGTTTGTG